ACTTCTGTAAAGTAAAAAGCAAATTTCTTAATTCCCCAAAAAGTGAGATTTGTTTTTCTCTTATGAATTTTTTTAACAAGACAAAAAATTCAATTATATATGTTTTGACACTTGGTTTTCCCTCTTAACCATGGCAGTGATATTACTAATTGAGCATCTACTATATGATATTTGGCACTTGCAAAACACCTGAGACATAAAATCTGCTTTTTAAAAAATTTGCCAGAGGGTGCATGTGCTTACTGGAAAGAGAGAGAGAGAGAGAGAGAGAAACAGAAAGCACTGCCCTGGAAGCAGTAGCAGTTCTTTCTCCATTTCCCATTCTCTTCCGGATCTTGGACACTCGCACACGTACCCAGCGTGTTTTTCAGGTTGGTATTCAACCTAAAACGTGTCACACACACACACAATATATATATAAATGTCTACATATTGTTTAAATGTATTCTTTTGTTTTGTCCATGAATGAAGAAGACAGCTACAGAGAGAGACAGCGTCCACAGTGGGTCCTGATGCCACACTCCACCCCCACCCCAACCCCAGCCCCGGGCATCCCTGGATTGTGAGCACACACGTGGTCTGTGTAATCAGAAAGGTGTCTGGACACGAACCCAGAACCGTCCCATGTGGGTCAGCCTTCTGGAACATCACGTTTTATCGCTGCACTAGCATTGGGCCCCTGGAGCTGAACATCGCCTCATTCTTGAATCTGCAAACATGACAGATGAATACATCTTAGCACCGTAGATTGCATTTCTGGAGTTAAGAGTGAAATCGGATGATCTTTTTGTAATACTTGGTCTTTAGGAGATGATGCCTGGTCTCCACCCAGATCACGTTTTTACTATTTTTAGAAATTCTCCTCCACTCGGTCACCTCAGTGTGTTTACAGTTCACAGCGGTCAGCTCTTACAGGGACTGTGAGAGTCACTTTGCCCCCGTGCATGCAGACAGCTACAAGTACCTGGAATTTCCATCCGACGTGACCCTTGGAGGAGAGGTGGGTGTGAACCTGCTGGTGACAGCAGGCACAGAGCACCTTCTGCCGGACTTTGCCTGAGTGTCCACTCTTTCTTCATTTCTTCCTCTCGCTTCTTCCAATCCCTTACTAGTCTCTCGGATAATACCCGCATCCCTGAAAATTCCTTTCTTAAATAATCCTTTAAAAACAAAACAAAGCATAGGCGTCCTCATGTCAGAGCCTGCTTCTGAGAATCATCCTTAAGAAATAGTCTCCAACCAATACAACAAACTCTGACAAGTCAACAAATTCAAAACAGCCAAGTAGGAAAATGGGCCGACAACAGGAATAGAAAATCTATGGAAGACCAAACTGGGAGCCGATTAATTGCCAACCTCATCAGAATCGGAAATTCAGACATTAATGACCCTTTGATTTTTAGCAAACTTTAAAATGAAGACTAGAACACCAAGTGTGAGCTAGGATGTGAGGAAATGGGAACACTTACACACTGTCGGTGGCAGCGTAAATTGATACGGGCACATCGTAACCTCCCCAAGGCTGGCGACGTGGTCTGCTTTGTTGACCACTGTATCCCAGTCCCTGGGGCATACGTGGATGTCAGCACTAAGTGGGTACCCACTAAATACTTACTGAGTGAGGACATTTTTTGGCACATTGCAGTCCCCAAAGAAGTTGTTTCGGAGACAACACAGAGCCGGCAGGGTTGCAAAATAGGGGGAAACTTGTTAGACAATTTAGTTGATGAGACAAATTTCTCACCAATCAATGGGCGACAGCCATTTCAGCCAATCACATTCATCTACTTGATCAATCTATTTGAAGGCAAACAATGTGTTCTGACAACCTACTGTGTTCCAGGAACTAGGCATCATTTATTCCTCTGTGTGTGTGTGTGTGTGTGTGTGTGTGTGTGTGTTGGAATAGTAGTATAATTTTGGAGTCACTTAGGAAGAACTGACAACTTTTTTTTTTTTTTTTAGAGATTTTGCTATAGGGTGTGTGCACTCACCAGAGAGAAACAGAGACAGAGAGACAGTGAGAACCCCTCAGGTGGGATGGCTACGCCATAATCCCTTCTCTTCCATTCTAGTCTCAGGATCTTCGGCATGCCTACATATGCACCTGGCGTAAGTTTTAAGCCATCAGGTCTGGGTCGGAACTGTAGTTGACTACGTGGAAGTCCAGTGAAGTAACTGTCACACCATCTACTGGTCCAAAGAACTGAGATCTTTAGAAGACTAAATCTACCCTATTTCTTTCATTTTCTTTTCTTTTCTTTTCTTTTTTTTTTTTGTTTGTTTAACATTGTCAAAAAGTAAGATTTGAAGATGAGAAGACAAATATCCCCAAAATTGCAATCTTGGAAATCAGGTACCTGGACTGGTTTTCTCAGAGATGACAGATAAAATTGTAATCTCCAGAAATTCTCTGAACCTTTTGGGTCTCATTTTTTATTCCTTTTATTTATAAAAATGCTCACATTTTCATGGCACTAAAATTCTCCTATATTTATCCTTGGACAGATTTTTAAGATTTAGGAAATAGATGAATTTGTATCCGATTAACAAACTTTTTTGGCTATAGGGCACATGCACTCTCCAGAGAGAGAACGAGAGGGGAAAAGTGAGAAATCATTCTCCAGGAGAGATGGCCGCACTGCAGTCCCTTCTCCTCCATTTTCCTCCTGGGATTTTGAGCACACACACATACATGCGTGGTGTGATTATCAAACTGCTGGGTCCAGGACTCAGACATGGTGTTGGTCACATGAGATCCAGCACCGCAACCTTACGCCACCTGCTGGTCCCACACTCTTTTTCTTATAGCACATGTGAGATTCTGATAGCTTAAACAGACTGGAGGTTGAGAAAGTATAAACACACACACATATACCTATACATGTAATTTAAAAAAATAATTTGCCAGAGGGGAAACCAGCAGTTAGCGTAATGGCTGTGTCATTGAACTCCCATGTAGTTGACCGTGGTTCGAGTCCCAGACCTGGTGGCTTAAACTCACGCCGGGCACGTGTGCATATATGCCCAACATCCCGAGAGGAGAATGGAGGAGAAGGGATTGCGGTGTGACCATCCCCCACTGGGGGGCGATTTCTCGCTTTCTGTTTCTCTGTCTTTCTGGTGAGCGCACGCGCCCTATAGCAAAAATCTCTCCAAAAGAAATAAAAAAAAAAACTTATCAAAAGCTTGCTTCAGTTCTTTGTAAAATAACAAGACCAGATTTGATGATGAGAATAATTCCTTTTTTCCTAAGATTCTGCATCAGTTAAAACTCTTAGATGAGGAATGAATGCCTCAACCCCAATTCTTATTTTCTCATCAGAGAATTCAAATAGTTCAGTCAGTCCTCATGGCCTGATGTCTCTGAGTTCCTGGAACATCTGCTAGGACTCAGCATGCACTACCGAATTATCTACTAATTACGAATTACTCTTAATCAGTAGAGTGTGAGCTCCTGGTAGGCTGGGAGGGCACCTGGCTCGTCTTCAGTCTTGGCGTCTGCCAGGTGGTGATCTGAACCACTGCTTTTCAGCATCATCTGCTGAGCTTCGAAACTGAGTAACTGACAACAAACAGAGTCTGTCCCATGCCTAGATTTTCAGATGCGCTAGTCTGGGCTGGGGCTCAGAAACCTGTAATGCCTTTCTCCCTTCTATTACGTTTCGGGTGCACGAAGTGATCTCTGACCTCGGAGTTCTCACCATAGTGAGGACAAACCACAGCGTGTGACCCTGGGTACTCAGTGCCCAGCCGCCCCCTCCCCTGCAGTTCCACCCTGGTGGTTCCCTCTCCGTAGGTGATCGTTAATGGCTTTATCGATGACTCTGGGAAACCCAGTTACCTAATGTGTGTGGTGTGGCCTGTCAGCTCGGCAGGTACCAGTGTGAGATGCTCTGGTTTGTGACCCCCCTGGGAACCTCCTTACTGTACGTCAGTCGTGCTGACAGTCTGCGGGCCTTTGTTTTGTCCTTGGGTAACTCCAAAACTTCCGAGACAACTGATCGTCTTTCAACAGTCCCTTTATGGAGGGAAGCTGAGAATTAGAACGTAACTGATATGTGGTGGAGCTGGGCTTTGAACTCAAATCAACAGAATGCATTTGACTCCATTTAGTATCTGGCTCATAAAACCAAAGTTAAGTCTTAATATAATATGGAGAATTAATAATACTTATAACAGGTGAGCCACGGGTGTAGTGGTGGTGAGGCCGGGTCCCACATGGCCGACTATGGAGTTCAAGTCCCAGATCCAGCAGCTTGAAAAATGCTGGGTGCATGTCCAGCATGCCTGAAATTTGAAGAGGAGAGAGGAAGAGAAGGGACTGAGCCATGCCCGCCCCTCCCCCCCCAGGTGCTTTTTTTGCTTTCTTAGTCTCATTCTTTCTGTTTGATCAAAGGAAGCGTTTGCAGAAAAGATGAGAAGAAGGTGTTATTTATTCAACTTTTTGCCCCTCCCTCTAAAACACACACAGTCTTCATTGTTTCAGTTCCAAATTCAGGTTTTAATTTACTGTACATAAGGGACCCCTAGCATGTTGCCAGGCTCCAGAGACTGGTCACAAGTAACTCAACATGTTAGCAAAGCAGCATCAAATAAAAGTCGTTTACGATGAATCATTCTTTTTTTTTTTCCCCCTTCACTTTGAGAATACCAGTGGGTCTTCATTTCTCACTTTTAATGTGCTTTCTTCCTTTGAGTTACATAACCTCCCAAAGATATAAACATCTCTATGTACAAAATGGGGGAGGGACATTATATATGTTTCAGACTTCTAAGGAAAAAAAAAATGACGAAAACTTTGCTTTGAAGCTGTTTTAAAATCCTAGGAAGAGGCTAATTTGAGAAATGTGTCATCTAATTTGTTAAGCAGCCAAACTACCTTTTATTTGAAGATAACAAAATTCTAACTTGAGCAAAACTGGTTAGAAAGAAGCAAGGACTCTGTCCACCCCTCCCCCCCCCCCCCCCCCCGGACCAGCTTTGTCATCTGGACACAGATGGGAAGGAACCGCCCCGAGAGGAGGAGAGTAAGTTTCAGGTCTCTCCCCACGTGGTGCAAAGTTCAGGCAACTCATCGCAGAGATTTAAACTGGTCCTTCTCCCTAGAAGGCAGAAACAGGGAATTAGTTATACTGTCATTCCTTCTTTTTCCCTCCCCATCACCCTTCTTCTTCCTGACCCGTCCCTAGGACATGCTAGTCCCCTGGTGCCCGTTTTCTGACTTCGTTTTAGAGCTTGGATCCATAGGAGGTTGTAGGAGTTGAAACATCACTGCATTTTGCATCATTTATTAGCAAAACTAATTTGGAAACGGGGTACAGATAGATCACATGCTGTGCTGAAAGCCGTAGCTAATATGGAGGGGGCTGAGCTCACAGAGCGCCCCGTCCGTGAAGCTGTGCTGCCTCAGGACTCCCACACCGAGTCACTGACAGTCGGTACGTACTGAGGGCTCGGAGCGTGGAGCGTGGGCGTGAACACGTACGTACTACTCTCAGCCACTCAGTCAACACCCTTACGAGATGGGTATCAGTGACCACGTTCTGGGGACGGCATGTGGACTCCCACGTGACTGACCACGGTTCTAGGCCTGGACACGGCAGCTTGAAACTCACACTGGGTGCACGTGTGTGCATGCCCCAAATCCTGGGAGGAGAATGCAGAAGTGACTGCTGCCTGGCCACGCCCCTCCCACGTGCCCCTGTTGGTGATATCATGCTTTCTGTCTGTCTGTCTCTCTCTCTGTTTGTCTCTCCAGCAAGTACACGTGCCCTATGACAAAAGTCTCTCTCAAAAAAACAAACAAAAACATGTTTTGCAGACAAGAAACAGTTCAGGGCATCTGGCTTGGCCGAGACCACCCAGCCGGCACTCACACCGGGTCTCCTAGCTTGTATTTGAAAGCATTTTCTGCCACTACATGCAAGGGCTGTTTGCGCTGAGGAAACGCTCAGCGAATACTGTGTGCCAGATGGGTGGGTGTTGACCGCACTCTCCCCATACATAGGGCAAGAGAAGGCTGGAGTAGCTGACGCTGCAGTGAGCCAGCTCGTCGGGGTAACTCAGCTGATGAACAGTGAGTTAGGCCCAGCGGTCAAGTCTTTCCCCGGTGTCCCACTGGGGTGGGTGGGACTGCCGAGGCAAGCCACCGCCAGGGAAGGAGCCCTGGGAAGTGGTTCTTGACGACAGCAGCTCTCATGCACTGCAATATCTGGTAGTGAAGTTTCACGACGCCTGCAAATGACTTTCCAAGAGCTCAGAACATGACTGGATAGCAAATATTAACTGTTCATGGGACAGAAGTGTTCATCTTAGTGCTTCTTCAACTTCTATGTAAATGAAAATTTAAAGTTTTTCAAAAAAAAAAAAAGAAAAGGTCAGGGAAGATTGGTGTGGTGGCGCAGCGCTGTGGCACTGCTCACGTGAACTGGGTCTACTGGGAGACCGAGGACTCGGCTTCCCATCTGACCTGCGCATGCGGGTGCACGCGCCTGGAGGCCTCACTGGCTGGTGCTGGGGGAGAGACCACGGGGTGACACGCCATTGGGGGCACTTGTTTCTCTGTCTGTCTCTCCCTTTCATGAAAGAAATACATGAGCTAAGAAAAGTTAGAGTAGAGGGGACCAGTAGGTGTTGTAATGGTTACGTCACTGGACTCCCATGCAGTCAACCACAGTTCAAGTCCCGGCCCCGGAGGCTTAAAACTCATGCCTGGTGTGTGCGTGCTCAAAATTCTGAGGGGAGAATGGAGGAGAAGGAATCGTGGGGCATGGTCATCCCCACTGGGGGGTGATTTCTCACTTTCGAACTTTCTGGTGAGTGTATTTGCCCCATAGCAAAAAAACTCTCTCTAAAAGAAAGAAAGAAAAAGAAAGGAAGAAAGAAAAGAGCAGAGTGAGAGAGGAGAGAGAGAGGAAGGAAGAAAACAACCTTCTGAGGGTGCAGTCACTGTGTTCGTGACGGCGGTGACCACAGCTCCCTCTGCTGTGTGCCGACCACTGAGGACGAAGACCCCCACAACAGGAGCTGAACAGACGAAGCGCATTAGAAAGGGTCAACGTGCTGGCGCCTTCGGGTATGTTTCAAAGTTCATAGATAATCGTCAGGTTGAGTCAATTATTATCATCTTTTCAAAGAGCAATCCTGGTTTCAATAAATTTTGCAAACAAGATTTCTCACCTTGCTAAATTACATGGCTCTCTCCTTAGCCGATTTAGCAAGTATTGATTTATTGTGATGAATTTTTAATTAATTTAAATTTCAATATTTAAATGCTCAATATGTTTGACTGCTATCATTGAAATAATTGTGGTAGTTTTGTTTTCTATTATGTTGAAAGAGTGAAAGATTTAAATACACCACAATAGAAGATAATTTTTTTTTTTTTTGGAGAGATTTTTGCTATAGGGCACGTGCGCTTGCCAGAAAGACAGAGAGAGACACAGAGACAGAAAGCGAGAAATCACCCCTCGGGGGGGGATGGCCACATCGCAATCCCTTCTCCTCCATTCTCCTCTCGGGATCTTGGGCACGCATGCACATGTGCCCAGCGTGAGTTTAAGCCACTGATTCCGGGACACAAACCATGGTCGACTACATGGGAGTCCAGCAGCATAGCCATTATGCCAACTGCTGGTCCCAGGGCCCTGTTTTCTTGAGAAAGAGATTTTTTGCTACAGGGTATGTGCACTTGCTAGAGAGAGAGAGACAGACAGAAAGCAAGAAATCAACCCCAGGGGGATGGCCATGCCACGGTTGCTTCTCCTCCATTCTCCTCCTGGGATTTAGGGCATGCACAAACACACACCCAGTGTGAGTTTCAAGATGCCCAGTCCAGGACTCAAATTGCCGTTGACTGTGCAGGAGTCCAGTGCCTTAACCACTAGGCCACCTGCTGCCCCTTGCCTTCTATCATGTAGATTATCAGTCCTTTGTCTCCAGGACTGTGGTCCAGTAGATGTGAAGCTGAACACTGGCCAGCTTTGGCCTACGTATGCGAGCATGCTCAGAGAGCCGGACCCTTGGTGGCCTGTAATGCGATCTGTTTCCACAGCTGAGAGTGGGCTGACTGGACCGTCAGCCTGCTCCGTTCTCTGCAGACAGCCACACTCATCACCCACGCAGTCCGTGAGCTCGGGCGGTCTCCTTCATGCTGAGAAGAAGTGACAAGGACCTTGACTCACCCCACAGCAGCCGCAACACCGGCAGTCTCCGCAGAGGGTCCCCAGGAGGCCATTGATCACCTGGATGGCGCAGAGACACATCTGGACTACTCCTACGATCAGCAGGATGGAGAAGAGGGTCAGGTTCCACGGAACCACATCAAGGGGCTCTGTGCACTTGCTCCATAAGGCTTTGTCACCGAGGTAATCCCTGTTGGTGACACAGAGAAGAAAAGAGACAATTTTTTTTTTTTTAAAGTAATTTTCAAGACTGGAAAGTCACCATAACAATTTTTCTTGTGCGTCCAAAACAAACTCCATGGCAAACTACCCTGCAACAGCTACAGTGAAAAGAACAAAACCTATCATTGTATTAAGCACATGCTATGCTCTAATCTCGCTTTGAAACATTCACTCATTTATTCCTCCTAGAAACCTGTGGCTCTTCAGGGCCAGCCAATGGCCTAGTGGTTAAGGCACTGGATTCTCACATGGCTGACCACAGTTCGAGTCCCGAACTTGGCAGCTTGAATATAATGGGTGCAAGTACGTGTGTGCGCGTGTGTGTGCTCAAAATCCCAAGAGGAAAATAGAGGAGAGGGATCGTGGCATGGCCACCCCTTCTCCCACCGGGGTGATTTCTTGCTCTCTGTCTCGGTCTCCAGCAAGCACACACACTCTATAAAAAGTCTCTCAAAAAAGAAAATTAGTAAAGTGCTTAGAACAGTCCCCCGTGTACCATAAGTGCTCAATAAATTATTACTTCACTTAACCTAATGCAAAGAGCCAAGTATTTTGGATTCAAATGAACATGGGTGGAATCCAAAAATTCTCACTAGCTGTGCATCCTTGTAGAAGTTACTTACGACCCTTTGCATCAGTTCCTCCATCTATAAAATGGGCTGAGACCACCTCATAATTGTGATAATCCCACTGAGATCATGTACCCTATATATGGCTGCAAAAGTACTTTATAGTGCCTTTTTTTCCCCCATTGAACACCTTTCTGTTCCACATTTTCCCATGTAGTCCTTTCTATCTCTACTTGGTGGTTATAAATGGTTAGAAAGATACAGTATTTCCCAGGCACACTTAATGAAGAGAAGCTCCTCAGAAGTAACTGGCAGTCAAGTTCCCTCTGGTCTGGGTTTGTATAGTGGTGGGACAGCAGCACCCCCTGGTGGTGAAATTGGTGAAACACTCAGGAAGGTGGAGCCCTTCTGAATTTGAGTGCTTGGAGAAATCCTCTTGCTCCCACTCCAGCAGGGCGTCACCTCTACAAACCACCAGGGACAGCATATTCAGGCCCTTTCTCCCTGCAAACTGTCAGGCTGAGAGTCTCAGAGACCTGGCAAAGCAAGGCTGTCTGCACATACAGGCTAATTGCTGTGTCCCAGTCTCCAACCCTGGTGTGAGAGGGTCCCTAACCAGTTTTCCACATTGCAGCGAGGAAGCTAGGGCAGTTTGAGGTGCTTTAAAGCAGCCATGATTACAAAGGGCACTTCCACCTGCCTTGCCGAAATCCCATTCCCTTCAGAGCAGAATGTTTCAAATTTCACGAACTTCCTTCTTCCCAGGAATGAAGGGGGGGGGGGGGGGGGGGCAAGTAGGGCTGGAATGCTCTACCTGGTGCATTTTGCCTGGCCAATGCAGGCACCGCCTCCTCTGGGAGAACTCCAAGATGCTCCTCCTACCCTCAGGTGGGGTTTGCTATCTTTCTGACCCCTTGTTTATCTTCTCTTCACATTAACCTTCCTAATGCCACAGGAAGTGCCACTTTACTTGAACAGTGCCTGGCTTAGAGCAACCTTCAGTAAATATTCACAGAATGAATGAACAGGGACCTAAGTTAGACTCACAAGTTGAGGCTGATAAATAGAAGTGCCTGTGTTTTATTTTTAGAATTATTTAACTTTATATACTCATTTACTTATTTTAACTTGACCAGAGAGGGACAGAGAGAGAGAAAGTGAGAAAGCAAGCTGCCAGGTCCAGGACTCAAACCATGATTGACCATGTGGGAGTCCAGCACTCTTAACCACCATGCCACCTGCTGGCCCTGAAGTGCCTGGTTTTGATTTTAGGCCTGGTTCCAAAGCCTGCTCTTATTCATTACACAAACTTCTTCTGTTTAGAGTAGTTCTGTCACCTTAGTACATTAGAAATAAGAGTTCTTTATGAAATCTAATCTACACAATGCATCTATTATACTAGGACAACCTAGGTTTATCTATATCACAATGAAGAGGTTACCCCCTTCAATCTTCTAGTGCCTGGATGAAAGGGTGAAAACTAAACTGCAAAATCATTCCAAAAGCATAGGGCCAGCAGGTGGCTTGGAGGTTAAGATGGCTGGATCCCGCCTGGCCAACTGTGGCTTGAATCCTGGACTAGCAGCTTGTAAAACATTCTGGGCGCATGTGCGTGTGTGCCCAAAATCCCAAGGAGAGAATGGAGGAGAAGGGATTTCAGCATGGCCATCCCCCTGGGGGGTGATTTATTGCTTTCTGACTCTGTCTTTCTGGCGAGTGCACATGCCCTATAGCAAACTAAAACAGACAAAAATTAGCAAGTTCTAATGCATAATAATGAACTCCGTGTTCAAGAATAAGTTATGTTCGTAAAATTAATAAGGCTGTTTATTAATCAATGTGTGAGAGAAATTGCGCTGAGTGCTTTATTGCACCGAGGTATTTATTCTCACCCCGCCGTGCAAGGCAGGGACTGCCCGAGAGAGGAGCGTGAGGCCCAAGACTGCACGATGGCCAAGGGCAGCCCAGCTCCTCACATCTGTGAAATATCTCACGCTTCAGCAAAGCTGGCGACACGTGGGCCAGAGCTATCCCGCCTTAGCAGTGCGGCTTTCAGCTCTTGGGACCATGTTTACAAGAAGCGTACAGGGTTCCATGCTAATAAGTCTTTTTTTTTTTTTCCAGAGAGATTTTTCTGTTATAGGGCACATGTGCTCGCCAGATAGACAGAGAGACAGAAAGTGAGAAATCACCCCCCCCAGGGGGGAGAGCAACCCCTTCTCCTCCATTCTCCTCTCAGGATCTTGGGCACGCATGCACGCGTGCCTGGAGTGAGGGTTTTTGTTGTTGCTGTTGTTGTTTTAAATTTACAATTAAAGTATAAATTTATTTTGGTACGAAACTTTGTGAAATTCATACATAGTTTTCCCATTACACGTATTTCCATGAGCTTTTTTTTTTCTGAAACATTTTTTCTTAATCAATTAATTTATATTCATTCCCTGAGCATTGTCAACCCTCTGCCCTTTCCCACCCTCCTTCCACACTATCTCTGGTGTCTACTGTTGTTTTCCATTCCTCTCCCACCCCCCACATTTTATTGATCACACAATTTCTTAAATAATCTAATTACTTTCAATAGCAAGTTCAGCTGGTAATTTCAAGAAAAGCAGTTTTAACTTTAATAAATCAAAGAAGTGCTAAGGAATGTTGCTTAAAACTTAAAGCCAGGAAGCAGGTTAGGATTCTATTCAAACAGTAGGTACATGAACCTATCGACAGCTCAAGAGAAGACAAAAATCCTTAAAACTGGAAAACAAAGCCTAAAAGAAAATCAGCAATGTTTTAGTCAAAACTCATAAACCTGGTGCAAGTTTTAAGTTGCTGGGTCCGGGACTCGAACCACATTCAACTATGTGGGAGTCCAGCAACGTAACTCCTATGCCATCTGCTGATCTCAGAAAGCCAGCTTTGCAGTGCATGTGCAGGTGGTTGTAATAGAAAGTCCAGGCAGAATGTCTCTCTGTATTCAGTTGTGGGCTGGGAGTCTGAGCTCCCACCACTCAGCCTGTTCCTGGGGAGGGGAGGTCTGCAGCCCAGCCCTGCTTGGCCACGTCTCCGCCCACCCCCCCATCCCCCAGTCCTTCCTCTCCCTCTGATTTTCTACTGTCCCGACCCCCTGTGCAACCTGCTTCCCTTTCTGCAGCTCAGGGTCAAGGCAGGGGTGGCCAATTCCATCAGACAGGAAGACCTTGGATGGGAGGAGGTTCTATTTCAAAAGAAGCCAAGAGGGTGGATCTCAAAACATCCCAGGTTTTTCTTGCTGCTAGGACGCTTCTGAAATCTGATTCTCAGGACAGATAACATGAACTGCCCTTTCTTCCTTAATACTGCCAGCACCAGGCACTTCTGGGGAAAACAGTGCTAAATTCTACAGCATTGAAGAGCCCTGGGTTTTGCAGCCACGCTGGAGATCTCAGGGTACCCTTGGATAGTCCCCTTCTGCTCAACCTAATCCCGAGGATCCCATCGCAGACTGTCTCTGGAGCGCGTCTGTTTCTTCTGAGCCCCAGTTACGCTGCCTCGGAGATGCCATTGTCCTACCTGGGTTTCTAGGGTAGTTAACCTCCTGTGTGTCGCTCTCTGGTGACAGAGCCCTTCTGCTCACCCTCCATATTGCTAGCATTGTCCTGTTGTAAACGTCAACATGGGCCAGGCCTTGGCAGCGCTTACAAAGCTGCTACTCGGCAGGCTGAGGTCACCCAGCAGGCTGGGTTTGATTCCCAACCAAGGTATGGTGGCGTGCGGTCCCAGCGACCTGAGGGGCTGACACGGGGATCACGACACAGCAAGACCCCCTTCCGCCCTATCTCTCTCTCTCTCTCTCTATATATATATATATAAATACACCTGGATGTCACATGGCTGTCCAGGACACACGTGTGGTGTGATCACACCCAATAGAAGGGTGCTTTCTTCGCTCCCCCCCACCCCCGGCAATTAAAAACAAATACAGGCTATCGTGTCATGAACTGCTTAAAAGTTCCGGTCTACCTCAGTACTCTCCATTTCGTGCTGTCCCTTTAGGACCCTTTCCCCACATTGGCCCTGAGCGTCAGGCCACACAGTGTTGCCATAGCCCCTGAGCGTGTTGGGCTTTTCAAGACAGAAATGGCTTCCTTCCCCCTGTAGAAGGCACACTCCGCCTCAGGCTCTAGCATTAGCCATGCCGCCTCCTCAGAGACGGTTCCTGGTGCTCTTTATTTCATCACTCTCCGCGTTGTCACCTACCTACCCATGTGCTCTTCAGGGCAGGAACTAGGCCTGTCCTTCTCCAAGCCGTGTTTAGGATAGGCTTCAGCACAGAGCGGGGTGCTGAGAAAGTGTATTTAAAACATGATGGGTGTGGCTCCATAGCCGTGTGGTTCAGGGAGCCTGCTCCCACACACCTGACTGTGGTTCAAATCCTAGCCTTGGTGGCTTGAAAAATGCACTGGGCACGCGTGTGTGCATGCTCAAAATCCTGATAGAGAAAAATGGAGATGAAGGAATTGTGGTATGACCATGCCCCATTGGAAGGGTGCTTTCTCCCTCTTCCTCTGTCTCTCTCTCTCCAGAGAGTGCATGTACCCTCTGGCAATATAAAAAAAAAGTATTATCCTTCTAATACGATTTTTAAAATCGTATTGGACAAATTAGTCTTTAAAAAATTATTTTTGCTATAAGGTTTGTGTGCTTGCTGGAGAGAGAGAGAGAGAGAGAGAGAGAGAGAGAGGTAAAGTGAGAAAGCACCTGCCAGGGGAGGGCCACACTGCAATCTCTTCCTCTGTTTTCCACCTAGAATTGGGGCATGCTCACACATGCACCTGGTTCACTTTTTCAAGCCGTTGGGTCCAGGACTCAAATCACACATTGGCTATGTGGGATCCAGCTGTTTTAACAGCCACGGCTCTGGTTAACCCCAAATTAGCCATTTTGAACTTCATTTTTCTCCTCCAGGAATAAGAATTCTCCTCAGGTTTATTAGGAAGGTTAAGTGAGGTCATGTATGGGAAAACACTTAGCATTTAATCATTGGGCAGAAAAAGGAGGAGGGAGAGGAGGAGGGAGAGGTAGCCAGAGGAGCTGCCCTCTGGTAACAAGGGAAGAGTGACAACTGTCTTCAGTACTGGTGTTTGGGCTCATCCAGAGATTGGCCGCAGCTATGGCCATGTGCAGGGATGGCAGGTGGCATGTTGGTTAAGGACTCCCACATAGCTGACCACAGTTCAAATCCTGGACCTGGCAGCTTGCTTTCTCTCACTCTCTCTCTCTCTGGTCAAATTTTAAAAATAAAAATAAGTAAAAGAAGTTAAATAAAAATAATTCCTGAAAAAAATTTTTTTGTAATACCCTCTCCTAAAATGGAGTTGCTTATGCTGAAATCAAAAAGGAACTGCTTATGCTAAGTTGTTTCGAATAAGCTGTTTTGATCGAAAGTTGTCTTGATGGAGTGTGTTGGTAAAGTTGTTTGGACCAAGACTGCCCCAACCAAAATACTTGACACTCCCTCATGATGCATGCGCAATGGCCATGAAACTATTCACATCAAACCCGCCTAAAAGGAGCCGGCCACGACCTCAGCATTGGGACCGTCTGTAGCCATGCACGGTGGGCCCCATGATCGACACTTAGACGGATCGACTCGTGGCTACTCTGCCTCCGCACCGTGGTCAAGCCGTCCTCCGGGTCAAGTCTGCTCCCTGTGAGCCAACCTTGGACAGAAGAAGTCTTATCCAACCGTCGGGAACTCGCTGACAACTGTCCGACGTTGGCCACCTCCATGCACTGCGCGAACTCTGTATTCCTCCCCGCGTCTGTTATCCCGCTCACGGGACCATAGACGCCTTTTAGTCCACGCTCCTCCCGCGGAATTTGTAAGTTTTCTTCCAAATAAATGTATTCGAAAGGCGCTTGTCTCTGTGCTAATCTTAATCTGTGCTAATCGGTTGCCTCCCAAATCATACGTACACCCTGCTGCCTTTAAACAGCAGGTGTAAATCCTGAAATTCTTGCCATCACTAATTCGCAATACAAGGCTGCACGCTAAGAAAGCGTTCCTTTCCTGCTGGAAGATAGGGCAGATTTGCAGCTCTAAGACCTGTGATGACGCTTTTGACCAGGATCTGTCTGGTGGGAAGGCCCATGAGCTCAGCTAGAACAGAATCCAGGCAAAAAACTGACAGGAAGAATCAATATAAATTGTGTGCTAGAAAAAGCACTGTGACACGTGCCAGAAAAGCTGGATTTTAATTTCAGGCATTAAGAACCTGTATTTCAGGGACCAGCAGGTGGCGGGCGGAGTGGTTAAGGTGCTGGACATTCCCACAGGGCCAACCACCGTTGGAGTCCTGGACCTGGCAGCTTGCTTTCTCTCACTCTCTCTCTCTCTGTCTCTTTCTCTCTCTGATCAAATTAAAAATACATTAATAATGCTGGTCCCAAAAAACAAATTCTTTACAACCTACAAAGTACCATGAAAATGTAAATTGTTATTTTGATTAGCTCTATAAAAACTAAACTCATGAGAAACCTATAATGTTTTCAATGTCAATTTTCTGTAAATTTGCACCTTAAATCACTAATTATAGGTAATTCAGGATGTTAGCCAAAGTCTTTGAGCTGGTAGGTGTAGTGGTGATTAGGGTGCTGAACTCCCACATGGCTGGCTATGGTTCGAGCCATGGACCAGGCGGCTTGCTTTCTCTCCTTCTCTCTCTCTCTCTGGTCAAATAAAATAAATAAATAAATGAATAAATAAAAGTAAATGGATAAGTCTAAGAAAAAGAGAAGTCTTTGAGCCTAGTTAGTGAGTGATTGCACTTGTTTTCCATGGTCAGATTTGTAATGGAAGCCTCTGCTCTGCCTCCTGATAACATTAATTCCCTCCTGTTGCTGTTGATCAGTGCGAGTGGCGATACCACAAATCTCCTCCTTCCCTTGGGCCAACTGGGGCATCAACTCTCAGTTATTTTTCTGGCATCCCTCAAAAGAGCAATGGGAGTCGAGATCTGGTGCAACGCAGCTCCACTCCAGGGCTCCAGCTCTGCCTCAGAGGAGCAATGGCCCGAGACTAGAATAATGAGGACGGCCTGCACAGTGCCTCCCGTTGGGCCGTTTACCTGCTGGTGGCCCTCGTGTGACATGTGGGCATTGCAAGTCTTACCCGTCGTGGAAGGGGTAGCTCCACGTGTCGTTGGTTATGAGACATTTAGGACCCTTGTTGATGGAGACGGCTGAGATGACAAATGAGTACCCAGCGCCCAAGAATCCAATCGCGGCGAATATCGTGGACGTGAACATCTGAAAAAGAGAGAGACAGCCGAACTCTTCAGGTGGCCTAGCGGTCACAGCCCCACGTAACCAGCCTGTTGCTGAATGTGGAGACTCGAAGGAAGTTTCTGGGCGGAAGCTAGTCTGGACGGTGGCTGGACCCGGCGGGGTCTCCTGTTCCATCCTCACTGTGTGCACACCTTTTCCTTCTGTTCCTTAATGACTGAAATGCTGGTTATGGTTTGATACCTCTGAAACACATTTTTCGGTTGTTTTAACCTCATTAAGGATAAAATCTCCTTCGTGGGGTCATTATGTAAGGCCAATCTGTTACAGAATCACAGGGTATTACGATTGACAGTGATCAGCAGAGGGTGCAATGGTTACTGCCCTGGACTCCCATATAGTCAACCATGGTTTGAGTCCAACACCTGGTGACTAAACTCATGCCAGGCGCACGTGTGTGTGTGTGTGTGTGTGTGTGTGTGTGTGTATGCATGCCCAAAATCCCAAGAGGAGAATGGAGGAGAAGGTGTGGCCATCCCCCAGGGGCGTGATTTCTTGCTCTCTGTCTCTCTGGCCAGCCCACACACCCTATAGCAACAATCTCTCTCTCTCTAAAAATAAAGGATTGACAGTGATCTTTAACATTTTCTTCTCAATTCCAACCATCCTGTTGAAATTAAGTCACTGTGGTCTCTTTTGTGACAGCCAGGTTCTACTTATGAGAACGCAGTCCAGACTGCCTCCTCATTGATCCTAATTGCAATACATTCCTCGAGGCCAAAACAATGGAACCCGATCTCTCTTACACATAGCAGCAGACACTGAATACCTGAAACTTGCCTTGGCATCTCTTCCTCCCTGACACCCACTGAGAAACTTTCTTCTCTTCAGGTAAAACGATCCCAATGGCTCTAGTTCTTCTAAACACATTTACTTAACAGAGACTAATTAGTGAAAAATAAATTCCTCTAGCATCTGTCTTTTTTTCATTAATAAGTCGAAATAGAATTAGAGGATATAATTCTATAAGACAGAAACAATTCGGGAGCCCATCCAGCCTAAAAATCACTCTTACAGATTCAAAAAAACCTTGGACCCAGAGAGGTTAAGAACTTTCGCCAAGTCCATTCTAAACAGTAATTAGAGAGGAGCATGGAAACACTTACAATTTTGGAAATAAAGGCGGAAAATCACCTCTATTACTTTGGTGTCATAGCACAAGGGTTTAAAAGTCCGTAGACTCAGGCTCAAATTTCAGCTTTGTTACTTTCCTTAGTGTGATGACTCTGCATAATCAAGTTTTTTTTTTTTTTTTTTTTTTTTTTTGATCTTGGGCACACATGCCTGGCATGAGTTTAAGCCACTGGGTACAGGACTCGAACCATGGTCGACTACATGGGAGTCCAGCGACATAGCCATTACGCTAACTGCCGGTCCCAGTAATCGATGTATCTTTAGAGCCCTAGTTCAGTTGTCTCTAAAGTAATAGAGCCACCTTAAAGGTCTGTTGTAATTACATGTGTTAGCCTAAAGGTCAGCTACGTTGCTTTCTCTCTCCATGTGTTATTAATGAGTCATCACAGAGTGTATTTGGGGCGGGGGATTAGGGTGGAGAGCACTCCGTCGTGCCTGGTGACTGCAATCTATGTACTAGTGACGTTCCCTTAGCTGGTATAAACTTTCTGATTTCTAGACTGATGCTTTATGAAGACTTGCCCGAGTGCCCTCGCAGAGCGGAGCCTTTTGTCCGTAGTATCTCCCACCCCTTCTACTCTGGGTTTTGTGAACTCTTACAGCACAGTGCCTGTAACACGTGAGTGCCGTCCCCGAGCACAAGCTCTTCGAAGTCATGGATCCTGAGTTATTTGAAGATAAGGCGTTGCTCCACCCCGACACAGTCTATGTTTTTTGTTTTCTCTTTTACTTCTTCCTGTATCAAAGGAAAGGTCTGGGATAGCTACTTATTGGAGGTTTTCAGTGATTTAAGTTTCATATCAGTCATTATTTTTTTCCAGAGAGTTTTTTTGTTGTTGTTTGGTTTGGTTTGGTTTTTGGTATAGGGCACATGCACTTGCTGGAGAGACAGAGAGAGAGAGAGACAGAAAGTGAGAAATTACCCTTCAGGGTAGGTGACCACACTGCAATCCCTTCTACCCCATTCTCTTCTCAGGATGGGTATGCACGCACACACGCTTAGTGTGAGTTTCAGGCTGCCAGGTCTGGAACTTGAGCTGCTCTCGGCCACGTGGGAGTCCAGCAATGTAGCCATTACAGCATCAGTATATGAGCTGGCCCCTCGTATCACTCATTTTTACGATTTTTTTCCCTTAAGTTCACCATCTAGGATGTTTTAAATTCACTTTTCTTTTTTCTTTCTTTCTTTCTTTCTTTCTTTCTTTCTTTCTTTCTTTCTTTCTTTCTTTCGTGTGCTCACTGAAGAGAGACAGAGAGACAGGGCAAGTGAGAAGTCACTTGGGAGGTGGTGGCCAAGTTGCAGTTCCTTTTCCTCCATTCTCCTCCTGGGATTCTAGGCGTGCACTTACATGCACCCAGAGTGTTTTTCAAGATACTACGTCCAGGATTCGAACTGTGGAGTTGGCCATGTAGGATCCAGCACCTTAACCGCCACACCTCCTGCTGGCCCTTAAATTCACTCTTATAGTCAAGAACATTTGTGAATGTAATCTAGGCAGAAGAAATGAAACTTTTGGTCAATTTATTATATTAGAACAGGCCATCTCTTTTCCAAAGGATGTATAGTTGAGTAATTTTGGAGATTGCTGGATAAATGGATAGGTTTTATTTTTTTAGGACCTCTAAGAAAAATGATGATATGTTAGTGTGTGAGAGCCTCTGAGAAGGGGATATCCTAAAATGTAAGGCAAGTTATGAACTCTTGAATCTCAGAAATGAGGAAATTCCCTTAGAGTGGAATCTTTATTTCATCTCTAAGATCATAGGTGACTTCCTCAAATGTTATATTTTCAATGACTAAGTACTGTGTAGAGAAAACACTAGTTAAAAACAACCAAAGTTAGATGACAGAATTGTTTAAAAATTTTTTCATGGAACTAGCGAGTGGCATAGTGGTTAAGGCACTGGACTTCCACGTGGCTGACCACAGTTCGAGTCCTGGACCTAGAGGCTTGAAACGTGCCCAGCGTGAGTTTTAAGCCACCGGGTCCGGAACATGAACCCACGGTCGACTACATGGGAGTCCAGCGACATAGCCATTATGTTAACTGCTGGTCCCAGTATTCTTAAAATAATGTTAATCATAGAAAAGACTTCGAAAAACCATCTGGTGCAATCATCTCACTTTCTAGCTATAAAATTAGTTCCATTCAATGACAGCCTTGTGTGTATTGTCTCATTTAATCCTCCCAATAAATCTACGATGTCGGTATTCTTGTCTACCCCTTCTAGACAGGAAACTGAGACTACTAGAAATGGCAACCATCGTTCTAAATCAAACATATAGTAACGTGGCAGAACAGGAATAAATATGGCCGCTTGCTTTCAACAGCCATGCTCTTAATTGGTAACTTTCTCAATTCACATGTCTAGAAGGTGGCCGGGCTGGCTTAAGAACCCAGGTGTCCTCCTTCCCAGACCAATGTTCTGTACTGTCTACCCCTTCAAACACACACACACACACACACACACACACATGCACACACACACACATACCCTGTAACATACTGCTACCAGCACCAGAGCCTGATCTTCGGAGATAAGACAACATTTAAAGAACAAATCTTCTTGTTCACCTCTCTTTTGATCTCCAGCTCTACTGAGTCATCAGAAATCATTAAACTATTGATCATTGAGTATCTAAGAGTGTCTACATTGTTGTAATGAAAAAGAAAGATTGCATATCTAGGAAGGCAGTTTGGAAATCTTAGGAGACCTGGATTCTAGACCTTTCAGCATTACCGTGGCAAGCAGAGGACAGTTCTAGAAGGTCTTTTTCAACTAACACAACCCAGGACTTCAACACCTGCTGGCTGGTAGTGAGGAGAGAAACTTGACTTGC